AGACGGGGAGCATTATTCTTGTAGAAACGATGTACTCATTGGAAAAGGAATCAGTATGTAGTAGTCCCACGCAACATGGAAAAAAAAAAAAAAAAGGTAAATTAATTTTTTCTATCTCTATATTGTAGTAATTTTTTTTTTTGGAGAACCCCCTACAGGGAATAATTAAAATTGTAAAGATAACAATCTGCTATTTTATTGCGTATAACTAGAGATGCAACACATTCAGGAAAACGTTAAAGACTTTTTAACTATGGGCATGTTTTGGAGGTGTTAACCTACTGATGGCTGACTGAGCATAGTGCGCCTAGCTCTTTTAGCAGTGAGTCGAAATTATCGACACTCTACTTCTGTCGCACAGGAAATGTCAGAGGCATTTATGTGTATTACACTCATCCTGTGCACAATACGGGGGTGTCGTGCATAGCCCGGTGGAACTGCATTTTCCTTTTAGTCGTTTTAGCGCTGCCAATCGAAAGGGCATTCGAAAGAATTTATTCCTCCTCCCAATTTGCTCAGAAGGGGTTATCCGGTACGTGACCCATCCCCACTCCTTCGTTTTATTATTCCTCTTAGTGCCCAACATAGATACATTTTCATTCTCAGGTGTGCACGTTTTCAGCTTGCCTTTTTGATTTTCCCATCTTGTAAATGTAAAATGGTTAAAAGTGAAAGGATGGCAGCACCATAATTTGCTCAAAACAGTACACAACAGATTGTGGCACAGTGTGATATTGGAAGTTAACGCTAAGTTTTCATTTTAGCAAAAGAAATGGCATGTATACAAAGTAATTTCACTTAATCCTGCGTGGGGTGATAAAGATTCGGCTACCCGTTTCTATGGGACTACAGATAAATTTTAATTTAACTATTGCTACCTTTTTGCGAATGGCTAATGCTTTAACTGCTTTTTTTTTCCAATTTTTTTCTTTATTGTTCATTCCGTTTGTAAAGCCCGCGGGAATGAGCAGCGTTATGGAGAATCCTATTCAGCGGAAATAATGAGAAACTTTTATAAAAGGTGTAAAAACAGGGATGCGCCAAAAGGATGCTTAAAAGGGGCCGTTCGTAAAGTAGAGGAAATTGGTAAAATTGATAAAATTGGCAAAATTGAAAAAATTGATAAAATTGGCAAAATTGAAAAAATTGGTAAAATTGCCAAAATTGGAAAAATTGGCAAAATCGGCCAAAGTGACCCCTTCACCAAACTGGGAAAACTGCCAAAATTTTTGTACACCCCGAGAAATACCGCGGTCCTGAAAAACCAAACTGCGTTCGTTCGCATTGGAGTACACCGCAGGAAGCGTGACGCATATTCTTGCCGAAAAGAAATAAACGGAATTTTTTTTTTTTTTATACTTCCATTTGAACAGTGGGAAAAATGCATAAGGTGACAATTCTTTGGGAGGTGCTTTCAGTGTGGAAATAAGAGGGGATCGGAACTTCGGGATGTAAGATGGTGCCAAGATATCGTGCATGTATGCATATAAAAATATTTGCACAGCTGAGGAAACAAAGAAAAATAAGCATTTCACAAATGTTAGTATGAATTCTTACATCAGTCGTACGGAAGCAATTTTTTTAACTGCTTCGTGAGGTATTCTCTTTTTTTTTTTTTTTTCCACGTTCATCCCATGTATCAACTAAATCGCGACAAAATAATCACCACTTAATTGTGATGATGCTTCCTCCTGATGGTAAATTATGTCACCACCCTGCCCTCCCCCACATTTGATGTTACTACCCAAAAAAAAAAAGAAGAAAAGAAGATTAACAAGCTCGTTTTGTGTTTCCTCTATTGGGCGCTCCCTGAAAAACAGTTGTGAATTCATGTACAATTTTGTGTACACAGGACTAGGTGGATAATCAACCCCACAGACAACTTCCCCGAAAAAAAAAAAAACACAATTTGGAGCGGGCCAACGGAAAGGTGAAAGAAGGCACGTGAAAACTGTGATAGGAAGTCAGAACTGTAACGCACACACGTGGGTAGATATACACACGTGCAAGCCACTCCTAAACACGTACCGTGCGACGGCTAGGCAAAATGAGGAACGTGGTTCAAAAGTACCTCTTCAGGAAGAACAGGTTCCTAGGTTTCTGCAGAAAGAGGAACATTTGCACCCTAAGTCAGAGGAAAAATTTTTCTGCATATAAAATATACACAGATGGACTCCTCCACTCGGAATTCTCAACCGAATTGAAGACAACAAATGAAGTGAACAAACTTCCTATATTCCGCGTACTAGATACAGAAGGCAATTTATTAGATGGTCATAGTGCCCCCTTTGACGATGAAGAAATAGTGAACCTATACAAACGGATGGTGGAATTTTCAATATGGGATGAAATTTTTTATGGCATTCAAAGACAAGGCAGAACTTCGTTTTACATTGTAAATGATGGAGAAGAGGGGATCCAGTTTGGGTTGGGGAAAGTTCTGACGCCAGATGACCACCTATACTGTCAATATAGAGAAACAGGCATTTTACTGTCGAGGGGATTTGATTATTCTGACATTATGAATCAACTTTTTGGGAACAAATATGATGAGGGGAAAGGTAGACAAATGTGTATTTGCTACACTAGTAAGAAATTAAACATACACACAATTACAACTCCTTTAGCATCTCAATTATCCCATGCTGCCGGCTGTGGTTATGCGTTGAAATTGAAAAATCAGAAAGCTGTTGCTGCTGCATTCTGTGGGGATGGTTCTTCATCGGAAGGAGATTTTTATGCAGCTCTAAATTTTGCAGCCGTAAGAGAATCGCAGACCATGTTTATTTGCAAAAATAATCTCTATGCTATATCTACTTCTATAAAAGATCAGTACAGAGGTGATGGTGTGGCTCCTAGGGCACTAGCTTTAGGTATAGAATCCATCCGGGTTGATGGAAATGATTTATTCGCTACCTATTTAGCTTCAAAAAAAATGAGGGAAATTTGCACCGAAGAGTCTAAACCTGTCTTTATGGAATTTATGGCCTACAGATATGGCCACCATAGCACCTCGGATGATTCCTCTCTATACAGACCGAAGGAAGAAAATGATGCTTGGAAAAAGGAGGGCGTCCATCCAATAAGCAGACTATTCCTTTACTTAAAGAATAAAAAACTCTACACCGATAACGATGACAAACTGCACAGACAAGCCATAAAGGAAAAGGTTCTCAAGGAATTGAAGAAACATGAAAGCATTAAAAGATACAACATTGTAGGTGGCCTCTTTGAAAATGTGTACCACGAGGAGGACTGGAATTTAAAGGAGCAAAGGGAAAGCTTTGAGGAGTTTTTCAAGCAATATAAAAGCTGCTACGACACGTCGAAGTTTGAAAGTTAGTTCGGCTACCAACGTGGGGGCAGCGTCAGAAGGGGAAGAAGAGGCAGAAGCGAAAGAAGCGGCAATAGCTCTTTCCCGTATGGGTCATTTTCTTCACCTTCTCGCGTGGGATTAAAAGAGACGAGGTTGGGGGACACGGCGCACCCAGAAAAGAGTACGTGTGTACGTCTGCACCTTTCGCCCCAACCAGTTGCAAAGTGGTTCCGTCAAACATCACTTCTATGACCTAAAGATTTAGGGAGAAGAGCAAAGCAAGCTCGCCGAGCAATTTTGTTCTCCCTTAATCACACCGGACAACTATTTTTACACACTCCTCTGTTCCAACCAAACAGCATTCAACAATTTGCCCCCTATGCGCAATAACCGCAAAGCGGTTGCATCAAATGGATTTCTTAAAAAAAAATTATGCGATTCGGTACAACCTGTATCAGGTGAGACGCACTTAATGAAGCGAGTGTCCCTTGCAGTTGTGAACAAATCAGCTGCAAGCATCACAAAGAAGGTTCTCCATTCAACTGTGCTTTAGTGTCTGCATGCAGTTGTATGCACTGCTAGTACATATGGCATGTTATGAACCCTTTTGCGCTACGGGATGGAAAACAAGGGAGTAAAAATATAGGCAACCAATTTGCATGCACACGAAGCTGCGAAAATGATAACCACGGTTCGGCAAAGGAAAAAATTGCAAATTTTGTAGGTATAAATGGTGGTGTCAATCTTTGACAGCACCCAATTGACGGTCAACAAAGATCTTTAAAATGGAATAAACTGACCTTTTCTTTATCTTTCCCCCCTTCAGCGATCACCGCTTCATACATAATGGCTTCCTCTTAAGGAAGGTACCACACCTGGGGGACAACTCAGTGCGGGCAAAATAGATACACACATGAATCCTTGAATCAGCAAAAACGTTTACGATTTCTCTCTTTGCCAGTTTGAAAAAGAATTGCTCAATACACCTCCCAGTTTTACATGAGAAAAGGAAAATAAGAAAAAGCGGAATGTTTAGTCCCTCACCAATAGGTTAAAAAAAGATGAATAGAATAAAATAAATTCCACCTTGCACACATGGGAGAGCAGCAAACCGGAAAGCGATGGGGATGCCCAGTTCGTCACTTCTGTATACATTTACAAAATTAAGTAATGCAAGTTGGGAAAAATGAACCAAACAAACGCACAAGTGGGGGAAGCGCTTTGTCGACTATACTTGCGCATCCCCTCCCCCAGTGATGCTTTTTGACAGGGGGACACGTAAAAAAACATAAAAGAAAAAGAATAATATATATATAATAATGTAATATAACAAAATAGCAATGTGACAGGAACACAACAAAACAACAACACTGATGGGGGGACCCCCCAGAAACAATGTCAAATTTGTAAACTTTCGTGAAACGTTGCAATAGAGAAGTGACCACTTCGCTCTGCTGCGCTAATGAATGTGTATTAGCCTTTTTTTATTTTTTTTTCATCTTTCCATCACAAAAAAAAAAGAAAAAAAAAAACAATAACGCTTCTCCGTAAGCGCACTCAACTTTGCGTCGAAGAATGGTAACATACGAATGCCAGTGAAAAGAAGACTGTGGAGTAGTTTCCACTAAATGGGTGAGGTGAAACATCCACATATTATTTACAAGAAAGTGAAAAATGCTCGTGAGAACAAAAATGGGTTACGCGAAGGTGTGCGTATAGTTCTGTGCAAAGTGTATATGCCTCCACCTGGGTAACTTTCCTCCTGTTAGGGAATCCAGCCGAAGGAGAAACTGCTCCCGTGTCGATTTCTCCTCTTGGTAGACCGATCGTGTGGAAAATATTCCCCGGCGCTTCTCCCCAACACATATTAGCTATCCATCTGCAATGGACGTCCCTTTCTTCCATCTTCTGAATCCCCATCGTAACTAGCATTTTCCCCATGAGCCATCATCCCAAAGGGTAACATCGATTGGACATATTTGTAGTACGAATTATTCTCCTTCCTGCTGTCGGACATGTACCCACGCGAAATGTGAGACTCCTTCGAATCGCACAAGGAGAAAGAAGTGCCCTTGCTGTTACTGCAGGAGAGCTTCACATCTGACTTTGACTTAAAACTGGATAACCTAACAATGTCCAAAGAGTTTGAGGAATTTTCGTCCTTCTTTCGACTCCCTTTTTTGAAACCTCTTGCACTTCTTGCACTTCTTGAACCTCTTGAACTTTTCTTTTTGTTTAAAAACTTTTTCGAAATATTTTTCTTAAATTTCTCGTCCCGCTCCTCAAGGTATAAGCTACTGTACATGCTGTCGCCGAGGTGCCTGTCCATGGCACTTACGGAGCTCATCGCCTCTTTGTGGATTTCGTCGCTCTCCTTAACATGGTACTTGCTCTTCACGTAATTGCTTAGGTTGTCTGAGGAAGACGAGATGCTGGGCGTTTTCACTCGACGCCGCGCGTTCCGCGAGTGCTGGGAATTTTGCGAGTTTAGTGAATTTTTCCAGTCCAGCTTCTCCCCCTTGTCCTTTTTCCTTTCCTTCCTCTTTACACCCGCAACATTTCTCCCCTCGTCAATTTTTCCACTTCGGTGTTTCTTTTCCGCTGTGGCTTCTTCAATCCCTTTTCCTGAACTCTCCTCATAGGTGATATTCCCAGCTGAGGCACTATCGCCTGAATTGTCGCTTCCTTCTGAGATCTCTTGATTAGACATGCTGTAGCCAAAGCGCGGCGAGTTTTTCTGCTCCGTAGGGCTGCTCTTATCCAGAATATCTTCACCCAGACAATGATCCCCCTTGTTAATGTTGCCACTGCTGTACGGTCTGTTCGTCAAAGGGTTTACTTCGGACTCGTTTTTCTTTACCTCCTTCTTGATGTTTTCATTGGACACATTTATACTGTTCGAAGTTTCGATGCGACTGATAATACGCATGGGGGGAATTGCCTTACCACTTGACTTGCTATATGTGTCTCTCAGCTGTTGCTCCTCCCTCGCTGCACCGTTCGTCCCCTCATCATTCAAGTTTACCTCCTTTTCGGTGGAGCTTTTTTTCTTCTCCTTGAGTTTGTTTATATAGGAATATAACTTATCCACCTGATGGCTCATTTTTCGTTTGGTGTGACTCTCCCCCTTTTTATTACTGACGTCACTGCTTAGCAAGAAGCTCTTCGACATATACATTTTCCCCTGTGTACTCAACCCTTTGGGCCCCACCCCTTCGTGATCCTCTCCTAATATTTCTTCATCCATATGCTCATCATTACTTCCGTTGGAAGCGACACTGGGTGCACTCTTCAAAATGATTTCGCTCGTATGAGTAGACATTTTTTCGGACTTTTTTTTCGATGGCTTGAAGGTAAACTTTCCCAAGTTCTTTAAAAATTTATTAAATTTATTTTTCTTGTTTCCTTTTTTTAGGGAACCTAGGCTTGAGAACTTGTCGTATTTCTTTCCTCCTGCGTCTATCTCCTCTTCTTCCTCATCATGTGAGTAGTTCGAAATGTCCGAGTGGGTAATGGAGTTATTTTTTTTGCTTCCATTTCTGGGTTCCCCCTCGTGGGTGCGATTATTCCGTGATTTTTCTCCCCTCGCTGTGTGGTGATTTGCTCCGATTTCTTCTGCCACTTTTTCTTCTGTCTCCTCTGCTACATTCTGGGCTTCTACGTTGACTTCACCGTAACGGTTGCACTTCGTTCTGTGTTCCCCCAGTTCGCCTGACCCATCGTTCACAAAAGAACTCGCCTTTTTATGTATGACGCTGGAAGTTTGCTTGGAATTTTTTCCTAAACTGGTCGAGTGGCCCTCCACAAATGAGTGTACCTTATTTAGCTCACTCACTTTGGTGTATGACAAGCGACGTGTGCTTTCCTGCATGTTATCGCCAATTTGGCTCACCAATGTGGGTTCTGCTCCCTTAGCTCTGCCATTTCCTGTGGGTTCATTTTTTCCTTCCTGCGCACCTGTTCCTTTGCTTTCTGGCTTCCCCGTGTTGTCGTTTCCTTGCTTCTCCTGCTTCTTTTCTTGCTGCTTCCCCTGCTTGGATTCTTCCTTTCCTCCATCCTTCACCCCGTTGAGACTTTTCCTCGCGCCAACACCACTGCTAACATTCGACTTTGCAAGCAGTTCGCAACTCTGTTCCTTGTGTAGCTCTTCAATGGACACGATTTCTTCCTTTCCCTCTTCCAAGTGTAGATGGTCCCCCACTTCCTTTTCTAAAAGTGCGTATTCGAATTCTTCGTCAGATTTGTACTCTTCCTCATCAGAGGAGGAGTGACGGTCCGAACAGATGTCACTTTGGTCTAGGCTTCCCTTTTTTACGCTGCTCTTTTCCCGTGTTGACTTCCTTGTTTGGTTTTTTTCCTCCCCCCTGGTGGCGTCTTGCTTAAGCTTTGCGCGTTTTTCCTTTTTCTCCCCCTTTTCGGACGAGTCGGACGAGGATTCATCGCTGTCGGAGGACTTGTCCTTGCTTTTTTTTTTCCTGTTCAGATAAAATATCTTTTTAAAGGTACTCATGTTACTCCTTTTGCTCTTTTTTTTCTTTTTCTTCTTGTTGTATTTACTTGACTCCACGATTTTGGAATACTCCATGGGGTAGCCGTCTTCATTTTGTGAGCTGCTCGACTTGGATTTGGATTTTGACTTGGCCGCTGATTCGGAGCTACCCGACTTGCTCCCGGAGCTCTTCTTGTTTGGTTCACTTTTGAAGAAAAAGAAACTGTCGAAGAAGGAGCCGTTGTTTTCTTTTTTCTTTATGCTTGACCGTCCTATTCGTACTGAGGTGCTGGAACTGCTACTACGATGGGAGTCGCTTCTCCTCTCAGAGGGGTTTCTTACACTACGGGACTCGCATCCTATGTTGGATCCGCTCCTAATTCGCGAGTCAGTATTCAGGTACGAATCCTTGTAAATGTAGGAGCTGTCTACTCTATCGAGGTGGCTGCTAGGGACCTCTTCGCCGATGTTGTCTTTGTTCACATCGGTATGCGCATCCGTCTTCACAGCTGTGTTGCCCTTTTTCGCGTTTACTCCATTTTCCGCGAACGTGTGCTCCTTCGAATTAGGAGATTCCTTCACGGAAGTGGTGCCCCCCTTCTTCTGGTTCGACTTCTCATTTTCCTTCTTCAGATGAGAGCCATTTTTACTACTACTCCGCTTGTTGGACTTCTTATTAAAGCTGTAAATCAAGGATTTCACATAGCCCTTTTTTTTATGGGGATCATTAGTAGCCTCCGTGTTGGTAATGGAGTGCTTTTTCCCCTCCCCGTGCCTGATGTTGGCCTCTTCATCATCACTATTCTTTTCTCTATACACGTTGTACTTTTTAAATAGTGAAGTAAACTTTTTGTTGTCCCCCTCTGTACTTAGTATCGTCGCGTACAGATCTTGGTAGCACATAGAGCTCCTCTCGTAATCCAATATAACGTCATAAATATTTTTACTAATGATATTATTTGATGTAAAATTCTTTGCAATCTTTTTTTCCATGTCGCATAGCTTCAAATTCATTAGACCTTTCATGCGTCCGCACCACAATTCCTTTATTTTCTTGTTTATACATTTCTCCAAGTATTTTTTTTTTTCTTCCTTTAGCTTCTCCAAGTCCACATTGCTACTTATATACTCTCTCTGAAGCTTCAAATCTATCCACTGCCATTTGGAGCAGTCCTTGATCCACTTTTCAAAGAGCCTAAAACTTCCCCATTTGTCGTTTAGAAACGCCTCCAGCTTCTTTATGTCTTCCTTGCTGGATATTATTTCGAATCCGGTGTACTTCATTGGGTTTGTCGCCTGGTCCGCCACACCACTCGGGTGTGCAAAATGAGTGGCCATATTGGCTGTAGAGGGGGTAGCAGTGGTGGGGTCGACGACTCCTGTGAGAGGAGTGTATATATAGTTTTTCCTGTCATGGTCGCTGCCAAAGTAAACACTACGCAGCGGGTCAATGCGCCCCGTTTCGATTAGCTCACCATTCTGCACGCACACAGAAGAAGGTACTGGGAACCCACCCGCATGAGTGTTCCATCCCACGAGCTGCCTAATCCGCGAGCTGCAGTCCATCTTCTTCACAATGGATGCATCCCCCCTGCGAAGATCAGCACATACAATTCGATACTGCGCATAGGGATTGTTCCCCACCACGGGATGATCATTCGTATGTTCCGTAAAGTTACCCAAGGTTGTCACTTTATCCAGTCCATTACAGAATAGTGGGCATTCCTTAGCGACGCCCCTCATAAGACGATTACTGCTGCTTTGCATTCGGCGACTATCACTTCTTCCATAAATGTAGGGAAGACCATTTGCGTCATATTCATTGCTAAGCACTGCAGAAGTGGCCTCACCATAATAACGGTTCAAATCATCTGAGTACGTGCCCCCTTTTGTTACCTTCAAATTAGACACATAAGAACAGGGCTGCTGATGTCCCTTCGTTGAATAACTCCCATCTATGGGCGCGGTGTGCGAAACGAATCTGTGGGTTCTAAAATTCGAGTCGTTCCTCCGGGGCACATCTCCAACCACATAAGAATGATTTAAAATGGTGGTAGACGGTGGATACTTTAGGAGCTGTTCTGAATTTATGAAGTGCGTTTTTTCCACGGCCCCACCAGCATGATCACCAAAGGTTACATTCTTACTCATCATTTTGGGTGGATTCATATGGTTATTCTTCCTCGCACTTCCTAAAACGCAGAAATTTTTAAACCTGTTTTGGTTTACTCCCTGCTTATGGGTGTTTCCTCCCTCGACATGCACACAATCGTATAGGGAGAAAAAGTCATTCAAGTCCTTCTGATATTCTGGACACATGATCCGCTTCTTCTTCAGCTCCGCTTCATACTTGGAGTTCTTTTCATCCGTGGAGTATATCTCACTTGGATGTGGCAATGAGCACACGTCATTTATGGCCTCAAAAATGATGTGAACAAGATTTTTTTTCAAGTTATGAATATCATCGTTCAGATCTCTCACTTGGTCATAGTAGGACTGCACCTCTTCCTCTAGGCAGTACTTAAGCTGCTTGTATAGAAAGCTCAACATAGTTTTTGCAAAAGTTAGCTCTCCATTTTTATCCACAATTCTTTTCATTTCATCCAATTTGTTGTATACTATTTTTCTTATCAAGGCGTTAAATTTCTTCGTGTCATATACACAGAGAATTAGCTCCTTCAATTTTGTGTTGATGTATTTGAATTTTAAAAGATCCAATGTTATGTGATTTAAGATAATTTTATTTATATCATCCTTCACGGTGCTGTCTTCTAGCAAGTCGTATTTTGTCCTTAATTTATTCTTCCGGATGTCTTCTATCAGTATGTCAATTATTTCATTTTGGAAAAGGAGTATATATTTCAAATCGTCATATATTCTTTTTACATTTCCCTTTTTCTTAATTTTGTCTATATCTATTTTTATTTTTTCGATTTCTTCTTTTAAATCTTCATGTGGTTCAAAATTGTAACTTCTGTCCTCCGCGTGGTCCGCCTCATGGAAATTTTCTCCACCCTTTTGCTTTTCCGAATTTTTGTCCTTCTTCTCATTTTTAATCTTCTTAATGGAGGGGATTCTTGTTTTTTTTTTTCTTATCTTCATTTTTTTTCTACTTTCTCTTGACATCTTCTTGTCTACTTTTTTATCCTTTTTGTTTGATTCTCTCGTGTATGATTTGCTCACATGTTTGGCATCCCTTGGGCTGCGTTCCTGCACGATTTTATCGGACATGTCGTCGCATCTGTTTAGCTCACTGAAGGAGAGGTAGTACTTATCTTCGTCTACGTTATTCGGATTTGATAGCATACATTCCGAGTCGTATATTTTCGAAACCGTCTCTTCCATTTCTTCCGATTTTTTCTTCTTCTTTTTAAAAATTTTCATAAAATTGTTTTTCTTCGTGAGTTTCTTTTCCTTATGGTCGCTGGAGGGGGATTCCTTTTCCTTCTCTTTCTCCTTCTCTTTTTCCTTCACTTTTTCTCTCTCCCTTTTCTGCTCGTTCTCCCCGTCCTCCTCCATCTGGGCAATGGGGTTGGAGCTGTCCAGCCCGTTCATCTCCTTAATTTCCTTCTCATACACATTCTCCGTTCTGAAAAAAAACATGTTCACGTATGTGCGCAGATGTGCATGTGGTGCATTCTAACCGCCGCTGTGCGCACGGAGAGACGGCGGACTCTTATCATGAATCGTTCACCATCTAGTACGCACAAGTGTCGGTGTGTGTGGGGAGAGCATTCACTTGCGCAAATGTAAACATACGTGCGTACACACACACATATGCATCAAAATAGGGGGGGAAAAGGGTCATCAAAATAATGCCTGTGTGAGTCTTCACCACTTGTTTATCGGGAAAGAGGCAGGTGTACTTGTGGACCCCTTCTAAAAAACCATCTCAAGTAGAATTCATAAAAAAAAAAAAAAAATACTCCCTCACAGTAGACGTAACACGCAAAAAAAGCATAAAAAAGTAAACACTGTCTGATGTCCGTATCATGTTGCTTATTTAGAAAGTAATAAGACTGCACAATTTGCACAGAAGACAATACTTAAACGGAAAATATCAGGTTCAGTCAAGGACGGGTACTATGACCCGAAAAAAGGGTAGTTTTTCATTCTCATTCATTTCTTTATTTTATTTTAATAATATTATTTTATTCCTTTGTTTTGTCCCTTCCTCGTATGAAGTTCTACCAAACGGTATTTAGTAGTGAACAATGCGCTGGAAGTGCTTTATGGGCGGCATATCCATTACGCCTCCGGTGCACAATTAAAATAGATCCCTTGTCCTTCCCCCTGTGACGCTCATTTTTTTTTCTTTCTCACAATGCTTCCCCCGTGGTAAGGAATGCGCGCATCTTATGATACGTGTGAAGCTTGTCCAAATCTCCCCTTTTAATCGCACATTTTCGCTTGCCATGTTGCTGTTTCTTCATTAAGACAAGGGCAAAAAACTTGTGAATGCGATTAAATGTAGTTAAATACGGTTAAATGCCGTTTTGTCGTCCAAGCGCCCAATCGCATGACGTTCACAAGAAGCAAGCTGGTCACACTTCCTCCAACACTTATCTAAGACCATTTTGAGACAACATCTGCATACCTCGTTGACGTGTACTTATAAAGGGCATTTTAATCTACACAAACGATGCGCGCACAGGAAGTATCCGAACAATGAGTACCCGCACAGGATGAACACCTTCCCCCAAATGGTACTACATAACACTTAAACGTTGTAGTTGTATTTATCGTTTTTTTTCTGTTTTTTTTTTCTTTTTCTTACATGTCGCTTGTGCCGGAAACATCTTGAGTCTTCTTGGAGGTGCCTAAGTTGAGCGAGGAGCTCATTATAATCCGTTTTTTTTCTTCTTCTTCCTTCTTTGTGCCTTTTCTGTTCATTTAGGTTTATGTGTCCTCGCCAAGTTGTTGCTTTGGGAAGGCAACCTGAGGAACAATTTAATTCCTCCTTGCAAACCCCTTAAGAATAAACGACAACAGTAAAATAAAGCTGGGTTTAGCGGTAACCTACGGAATTTTTTAATTCCCATAAGGTAGGAATAGATATATATATGTACGTGGCTAACTCGTGACATAGGCTATTTTCCCACCATTTTGAGGTTATGACTGTTGGCAGGAAAAATCAAACACAACCGTGCTTTTTTGTTTCTTTGCTCTTTTTGTTTTTTTCCCCTTTCTACTGGGCGTAGAAATAACATCCCCCCCCTAAGTTTTTAATTGCGCTACTGAAACGTTGTAAATTCAGTTAATTTTTGCGAAAAAAGGGAGGGATGCACAGTCTGGGCCAAATAAATTAGTGAGTCAATATTTTTGATGCAACGGTCTTTCGCGCGTGAAGAGCGAAAACATCGGGAAAAAGCTTCACAAAAAAGGCAAAGGCGAGTAACGTCAACAGAATTGAGAAAATTATACGAAACAAACAACACTAAGGGAGTTGCACAATACACACAAAACAGAGGGAGTCGCACAAAGCGCACAAAACTGAGGAAATTATCCAACTTTTGCAAAACCGCTCCCAAATACTGCGAAATTATTCTAGCACATTTTTTTCCACGCATGCTAGAAGTGAACCGTTCCCCCAGACGCTAAAAACGCTAATTTGGTCAACCGATTTAACCACATTTGGTGAAATCTTTGACACAGCAAAACAACATTTCTGTGTGTTTACCATAACTCTGTTTTAAATGCCTTTCCTTAATCTACGCTTGAATTTTTATTTTTGACAACTGCAGACCTTTACATTTGCTTCGTACACATGTACAAAAATATGTGCAATTAATGCGTATAGATATATCCATTTTTTTTTTTTTTTTTTCTTTTCGATATAGCCTATACAGGCAATACAAATGCCATTTTGCCTAACTTTGAAAAATTTGAAACCAATTTGGCATTTCTTCCATGACCCTTTCGTACTTTTTCACTTCATTACGTGATTTCATCAATCCATAAACGCAGACTTATGCTCCTCTCAGTGTAACGATTTTTTCAACTTTTTGAAGGATGGGAAAATGGACATTTCACGCCTTTTTATCTGAACTTGAACAATTTATGCCAACTCTTCTCCGCTCCATTCGTGCTATGAACGGATATATATCTTTTAAAACAGCACAAATAATGAATAAAATAATGAACAAAATGGTGAACAAAATGGTGAACAAAATGGTGAACAAAACGGTAAATCACGCGACAAAATAAATGGCACACCACCAAGTGGTCTGTGTTAATAATTTTCTTCCTTTATGTAATGTCCGTTGTGTTACGTAACGAATAGTGTAAACATACACACATGGGAACGCGGTGTGTGTCCTTTTTTGTTTAAACTGCAATAGTATACTTTGGTTATATTTCCACGAAATATGCAATTTTTTTTAAACCCATCATTTCGGAGAATATACGCATAAAAACATGCGATATATGTGTTACAGCGACACTTGCGCGCTGAATAAACTTTCGGAGGACGCATACGTTACCACCTTTTTTCTCAAAAACTCTTGTGCAATTTTCGCTGCATAATTAGCAAAACGATTTTGCATCATATGCATTTATTAATCACTGTCGCGCGTTTTAAACTTCTCAGAAGAGCATACAACGATGTTTACACGGTTATACGTTTTTTTCTTTCTGCTTTTCTCACTCTTCACACAATATAGCCAAAGTTGTAAATTTCATACAGTAAGCAAAAGCGACGCTCCGACACAATCATCTGCAATACGTCCCTTCAAACTGTCAACAGAATTATGGATGTGAAACAATCCAAACGGGCGCCATACTGACGGTCCTCGCTGCGGTGACATGCTGAGCAAGGCACAATTCTTATGTAGAACACTGTTATTGTTATATGTATATACATATATCGCACTGGTTAATAGCCCCCCAAGCGATGCACATGACAAGCAAAGTGATGGGGTGAAATCACAAGATACAAAGTTTAACCCCCTACTTCTACAAAGCCGTGTCTGCATTTTCACTATAATATTGGCCTCCATTTCACTATGTATATACAGAATTTTGGCTCAAACAAACCCTTGCGTCACAGAAATAGTGGAACGTTTCGTAATTTCCCCCTTCAGTGCATTGATAATTCCCCATGTGGAAAAATGGCTTAAGTGCAGAGAGAGAGAGAAAAAAAAAACTCACACGCAACACCACATAACACGCGTTGAACTCCTATCTGCCTGAGTGACAATCCTCACAATTACTAAAAGAACGTGCAAATTGTCGAAAAAAAAAAAAAAAAGAAAAAAAAAAGACCATTTTTTCCCTATTAATAAGTCCTTATGAAACATTCTAAGATTATGCTGTCAAAGTAGCACATAAAAAAACGGGGGAATGGTGCGTTCTCCTTAACACCCCGAAGACGTGCAATAATGGTGACTTGGCATGATCTTACGAAAATCTTCACATGTGAATATATCGCAACACATTCCCGTTTTCCGGCTCCTCTCGAATTTCAGTTCATTGAGCAGGTGTCATGCATGTCGAACGCGTATATGCTAACAGGATAGAGGATGTCATTCCACGTTGTTCTTTTACTTTCCTGTTTCATTTTTTTTCCAACACTGTTAAAAGTTAAACAAAAAAAAAAAACACCTTTGAGCAGTAAAATTGTTCTCGCCAGCAAAAACATAAAACATGTTCACTTCACGATGTTTAAAGTCGCGTGATCCGTGGGCGATTTAGCGAAAATCGCGAAGAGAATTCTTAATGTATGCATTACGCATATGGTTATTATTGTTTATATGTAGGCCATATAAACCTGCAGTATATATAACCTTATGTATCTTCACTTCAAACATCCCAGGGCCATACACCTTTCCGCACCTCATGCACGTTGTAGAAGCTGCTGCTGTAAAGGTTGCTGCCAAAACATGGGCGGCAAGATTTTCCTTATATTTGTTGAGAGAAATGCGTAAAAAAGTTGGTTGGGGGAGAAAAAGCGTGTCATTGTTTAAGCGGACGTTTGTTTTGCTTCCTATCACGCCGACGCTTCCGACAGCACGAGCTGCCTCCTTCTGTTTGCAATCGGGCAAGGGGCTAAGGGCAGAACGCGCTTTAATTTTACAGCATGTTTGCAATGCGTATAAATGATGTATACCACATGGAAAAGCGTTACATGCCTATAGTATTTATAATGTGAAAGGTTACATTCATATGCGCATTAGTATAATATAACATGAGCAATTACCAGGACATATGGGTAGGGACTTTCTGCTTCGGGTAAAGCACTGCTTACGGCATTGTAAAGTGCGACGGATAAAAAAATTGCGAATTTATTGGCCCCCACCCGCCACTGAGCAAACATATATTTTTCTGAGGCGTTCCCTTGTCCCCCACTCGGCGGGTTCTTATACCAGTTCTTTTGTTTAACATTGCGGAAAAAAAGCGAGGGGAAAAACGTAATGTTCTCTTTACCTTCAGTTTCGGCGGCAAATGGTCAGGCGCTCAAAAATAATGTCGCGGGGGGTATATGAGCATTGCGGTTACGCGTTTATCACATGTATAATGCAATACATAAATATATATATATTTTATTTACGCATACTTCGTATGTATTATATAAATATATATAAATACTGCTTACATTACATGGAGTACATTCGCGTATATTCCTTCGTCCACCACCAGCGGTGCACTCCGAGTAACCTGTTTGCATATTTATGTGTTCACGCGTTTGTAATGTTACCGTGAAAAATCAAAACAAACCAGAAACCAACTGCGTGAACGGATTATGTTACCCGCATGTACACCTCATTTTTCCTATAAAAAAACTCCGTGTTTTCATTATACATTGTAACATACATGTACAAATAACGCATATACGTTCCCACGTAACATCGCTATTTCATGTGATGCCACTTCGCAATCCACATACATGTATGGCATTATATGCATATAATACGTGTATAATAAATGCATTTATACCGTATGTTTATCTTCACATCATTGCTTTCTATTTTATTCATCCATCCACTCGTTCGTCCGTTAGTTCTCCGTTCGTTTCTTCCCCTGTTTGTTCGCCCGTTTGTTTGCCCATTCGTTTGCCGGTTCGTTCACCGGTTCGTTCGCCCGCTCGTTTTATTTTTCCCTAGCAGTTTTTTAAAAATAAAAGGAAAGCAAAAGAGAAAGAAAATTGGTTTTCCACTTGAGCAATTTTTACATCCCTCATGTTTGCATATAATTTTTTTCGCAACGTGAGTGTGATTAAGCAATTTTATTTACAATTTCGCAGGGTGACACAAATTGCGTTCGCCTCCTTTGAGCGTTTTAAATTAGCAAACCCTGTAAAATAGCATCACGAGCGCCTTTTGCATATACGCGACGTGTACGTGTATATATATGTACCATATACAAACCCCCACGTGTACCTTTTTTTCGCAGCAAATGCGCCTATGTACAGTATACAGACGTACAGTATACGTACGTACATTATAAATATGTACATGCCTTTTTTTAATTAATTTTTCCTCCATTCACGTGCCCCCCGTTTGTGTTTTTCCCCCTGCTATCTTATGCTTTAACATTTTTTTGGCAGGGGGATTGTACTTTGTTAGGAAATTTACGAGTCACACAAAGCGCGACATTGTACTACGTACCTACGCACGGACGTACATTTATATAGGCACATTTATGTAAGCACATTTATGTAGGCACATTTATATAGGCCCATTTATATAGGCACATTTATGTAGGCACATTTATACATACACATTTATATACGTACATATTACGCGCACTCCCGTTTGCAAGTGTACATATGCTCGAACGTGTTTACATGTATGCGTTCATGCAAACACCAGCTCGAAGAGGTACACCAGCACATATTTGTACATGTGCGCATATGTGTTCTCCTACAATTTTCTAACACTTTTGACTAACGTCAAAAACCGGAGAGAGGAAAAAGGAAAAAAACAAAAATGAGCTGCATGGATGTAAAACAGGAAAATGTCCAAAGCAATGAAAAAAACTTGAACGAAGTAGGCTACAGCAAATGAGCGAATACGTGCATGCGTGAAAACGTACTTATGTGCGCATGAGCATATGTGCCCATTTTTGGCCCACCCACGAAGCTGTTTTGTGTTGACGCTACCTTTCCGGTTACCCATGTGCACCTGTTTTCCCCTCTAGGCCAAAAACATTGCAGCTTCCGATAGAGACAATAAAAAAGGGAACGATGACAACATGAGGAGGTAGGAAGAAAGACGAAAAAGGAAAAATTGTGCGCCACATATGTGTATATAATATATATACATATGTATGTGAACAAAGCAGTGACAGGATGTGCCACTTCGTGATCGCGCTTCTCATTGTGCAAATGCGCACTTTTAATGCATGCAGGGTTTGAATAACGCATGACCCGCTTCACCACATGTGTTTTTTTTTCTCCCATCCCTCCCATGGTAGGTATAGCAAAGACCCACGAAACAGCAGCGCATCAAAATCGCACAAACAGCAGGGGTTCACATACATCAAACAGAGTAGCAACCCAGAAGGTTTGGATAACGAGTGGGATAATTTCAGGAGAGGATCAAGTCACACCTTTAGGAATGCAAATAAATCTATCGAATACAGCAGTTTTTCCCCGATGAATAAGAAAGGCTACGTAATGGATGAAAGAAACTGGAGGGAAAAAGAACAGCGCTATTCACGAAGCTATAGGAACAATAACTGTAACAGTATCGCAATGGATTCCAATATGAACAACGTATACAGATCCAAATATTATTATAGTAAAACTGTGAGCAGCTCGGATAATTCAAAGTATGGTTTTCCCTGGAATAACAAGAACAGTCATAGTAAAAATACGGAAAGGAACAGCTCCTTCCTGAAAAATGTAAGCTCAGGAACAAGTGCAAAAGGAGTCAACAAAGATATTAACAATAATGGTAGTAACACAAATAATGATAATAGTATCCGTAGCGGCACACCGTCAGCCAGTGGAAACACCATGAAAAGCGCGAACGGTGTGAATGTCGCCAGTCCAGATGACTTCACAAATAGCCAAACAATGTCAAACAATCAAAACAATGCGAAAAATTCAAATCAAAGTCATTTCACGAATGTGGAGGGAAATTCTAACAAGAATTCTAGCAACATGAATAACAAGGCCTTTTACGAAAGTGCAAATAAAAATAACCCCTATGAACTTAATCCCAACATCAATTATAATTCGACGCAAACGAAGTATACTACTCAGACAGAAGATAATGCGGAGGGTACGAATGCGAATTCAACGACTGCTGAGGTTAACAACCCATCTAATAACTTAAATAACTCGGCATTCAACAAACAGAAGTATGAAAATAACGACCCCTTCATGAGTGACAACAACCAAAATAAAGAGGGAAATATGTACAGTAGCGAAAATACCAACAGGAATAAACCAAATTGTGCGCTCAATGCGAACGCCGGAAATGTGGGTCACACGGGTACAAGCGGAAATAATGGGTATCCCGAAATGAGCAACCCGTTCGATGTTAAACGAAGCGGCATGGACGCAACACACGATTTTTACCCGCACTCTTCAGGGAAACCCAATTATAATAGTCAGGACATCTCCAATGCGCACCCTCTGAACGACGTGGCTCCCAGCGATAACGCAAATTTTAGCAAAAGGGAGTGCCTAAACGTGGATAATAATTATTACGCACCCCATGTGCAAAACGTATCAGGCAACCATTTTGAAAATGCAGGCGCTGCAAACACAAACGGAAATTTTAACGCTCCATCCGATTTTGCCAACAAGGGAACAACAGGTACTTTCAACAACGCCAGCGTTGTAACGAACCAAAGCGTAAATAGCAATCCGAATTTGAATAAAACCAATTTGACGAATAACAATGCGGAGAATAGAATGAGTTTTCTTCCTGGAGCATCAGGGGCTGGGAGGAGCCCCTATGATCATCCCAACATGAACAGTGCAGATAGCCAAAATCATAACAATGAGGAAGAGGATAATGACGATTGGGGAGAGCTAGGGGAGGACAAATATATAGACATCAATTCCATTATTAAAAAGAAAAATGTTATTCTGAATCAGCTAGCTGATTTGAATATGTCCAAAAGAGGCAACGACAACAAGAACAAGAAAAAGGCCAGGGCGAAGAAGCATAATGAACCATTCTTTCTGGCCGAGGCAGAGGCGAGTACCTCACTTGGAGAAAAGAAAAAAAATAAAAAAAATAAAAATAAAAATGCAAAGGGCGGTGGAAAGAACGCCAAGACTGGAGAAAATGGAAGCCATGACCAGTCAGCCGGCAAGAAAAACGAAAAGAAGGGAAATGTCGGTAGCGAAACGGATAGCAAAACGAACGACGGAAACACACCAGATGGTGGAGCAAACGAAACGAATGATAATAATTCCTTTACGAAGAAGGAAGAAACGGATGGATTTGACAAAAATGATCACCCACAGCAACAGCAAAATGGAGAGAAAAAAGAAGAAGTGACGGAGAAACCAGCCAAAGCTATATATGTGTTTAAGAGAAAAGAAAATATGTCCCCCCAGGAGTATATGGAAAGACAAATAAAAAGCCTTCTGAACAAATTAACCGTGGAGAACTTCCCAATAATTACCGAGAAAATATGCCAAATTATGGACTCGCGTACCAATACAGAAGAAATGCAAACCGTTGTAAATGAAGTAATTAACAAAGCAGTTTTGGAACATGATTGGTCAGAAATGTACGCTGATGTTTGTCAAGCTTTGAAATGGAGATCGCCAAATTTTGAAATGAAAAAAAAATCCTCCTTCGAAATTGCACTCTTAAAAAAAATACAAGAACAATATGAAAATTTGCCAAGCACCTTCGAATCCACCATGAAGGAAAAATTAAAAAATGACGAAAATGAAGAAGAACTAAGTTTCGTGGAGCAGAAACAAAAGAAAAGATTATTTGGAATTGTAAAATTGATAGGGGAATTATTTCAAAGACAAATTGTTTCCATATCGATTGTAATTAGTATAGCACATGATTTATTAATCGCCTTTGAGGAACCGAAGGAATACTGCATTGAAGCCTTCCTCCAGCTAATTTACTCCACTGGATTTTTTATCGACAAGATGGAGAAGTATAAGAACATTTTAGACACCTGGTTTGGTCGACTTAAAGAATTGCAAAGAAAAAAAATGTATTCCAAAAGGATAAAATTTGTAATTCAAGATGTTTTTGATTTGAGATTATCCGAGTGGAGAAAGAAGACGCATAAAGATACAGCCAAAGGTTTGAATGAACTGAGATCCCAACTCGAGACGGAGGAAATGATGGGAGGATCCATTCACCTGGCGCAGCTCGGAAATATAGTCATTGTTGGGGAGAGGCATAATATCAGGAACAATGAGTCCTACTCCAAGTATATGCAGGAACAGGAGAGACTTAGCAAGGCAAACCAGAAGAAGTGAAATTTGTTAGCAAATTCAAGCGGTCGGGGGATACGAATCGGAGAGGAGAAGGAATGTGCAAACGTTTGTTATTCCTCCCGCCAAATCGCTTACCTTTTCGTAGGAGAAGCTCTCAACAGCACTCCACCATACCGAACAGGAGTTCTATGCCGCATTTGTGTTTGTATGTTTGTTCGCCACCACGCCGCGCACACACATATGCACAGCTACGTGTTTGTATTCGTATGAAGACACACGCAACGCACTCAGCAGACAGACGCATATTCTGCATATGATGGGTGGGGCACACCTCAACCAAAAACGCGTATAAAGTAAACACCTTGTTGTCATGCAGCAATGCAGTGTTCTTACTTGCAGTTTCTTTTGTAAGTGTGTATATATAACTCACCTATTATGCACATTATCTTGATGTAAATGTCGCTACATTCTGCGCGATTTCATCAAGTGTGATTGTATGTCCACTGCAAGAGAGGTATGCATTTGCACAGGTGAAGAAGTGCAAATGGCCCTGCGCAAACATGTGCAATGTTGTGCATCATTTGTGCACATAACGCGAGAGAAAAGGGGAAAAAAAAGAGATACCTGCCAGGTTATGCTGGGATATATAATTATTGTATAGTATACTATAGTATAGTGTACTATAGTACATTATAGTACAGTGCAAGATATCACCTGTCGCACTTCGCATATCGCAGCGTCGCGGCCCTATAAATGGCGTGCCTGCCAACCCTGTTCTGTTTAAAAAACACACTTTTTCGAAAAAGAAAAATTTGTAATACATAAAGATTTTGTTTTTTAAAATGTAAAAAATGCATTTTTTTTTATAGGGTAGCCTTCCCTTGACGTTTATTTTATTTTTTCTTTTTCCCATTTCCCACATATGTACAAATTTAGAAAATCATATCCCCCCTTTTGTGTTCAATTATGCTTTTATTATAACCATTAAGATTGTATTTAAAAAATATGAAAAGGTACAAATTATAAAGTGTACTTTTGTGGAGGTAGGTCCACATATATGTGCCTTAAGGCCAAATAAATACTGCCGGCTGGGCAATTCCGTTGGGGGAAGAAACCCCTCATAGGGAAACAACTGCTGGGGCAATGAAAAGTTTTGATTCCACTTTTGGTTCACATTTTTTTTATACTTCTTATAAGTACTGAAAAAATGTTAAAAGAGGGGATCAGCAAAATATGCCCATCTGGTCAACCTGTCCGTTCGCGATGGTCCGTCACATGCTCATTGACACATGTTCAGCATCACGCGGTGTGTGTGACGGGGGCACCAGACATGGCTTTGGGACGAGGGTTAGGCAAAATGGGGGGGAAACGTACATGTTCCAATGCGCTAATGTAAAAAGATGCATAAAAACTGCATACCCGGAAAACAAATTTGGTGCGCTCGTGAAATAGGTTCCCCTTTGTAGAACGAAAAAAAAAAGGAGAATTAGCCAAGCATCAAAAAGTGGGCAACAGAAAAGGAGTAGCTAAACTTTTGCAAACGTTTTGGTACAAATAAGGCCAAAGAAAAAAAAAAAATGGCGAGTACACATCATACGCGATGCTCAATGGCGTAATCCTGGATGCGAAAAAAGCAATAAACATTCGCTGCAAATATTTTGGGGAATGAAATTCCGGTCTCATTCTGTTCAGTCAAAATTATCCTCCTCTAAGTTGTAAAATCATGTGAATGGTTGAGCCGGGCACCACTCTGTAGTCGCTGAGCTTCATGTCGTCGTGCATTTGTTTCCCTTGAAAAAAAAAAAAAAGGCAAAAGAAGTTACCAACTTGGGGTGTAACACGGGGTATGCCAAGTGCACACTACTAACTGGGTTATGGCAGCTGTGTAGACCAAGTTGGAGCGACGTCAACGGGGGTCTCTCCAAATGATCAACACGAAGCGAAGACGAAATGGGAAGGAAACCCAAATGTGAAAAAAATGTAATAAACATTTGATGAAAATGTAAAAAGAAATGCAAAAAAATGTAAAAAAAATGCAAAAAAAAATGCACCAGAAGGGGTGCAATTTTGGCAAGGGGGCAAACCTGAGTAAATGAGCCGAATCTGCTTTGCGTCTATTCCTTCCTTTTCCTCAATTGCCATCTTTATTTGAAATACAGAACTGGATGGTTCAAAATTAAACGACTGTCTTTTCCCGGTCAGGGTTTTTACTAATATTTGCATTTTTCTCCTTTTTGTGTAAGTGGAAATGTCCTCCCCCTTATTTGAGGATGTTACATTTCACATAAATTTTGAGCGTCCTCCTCGGGTTATTCAAGCGTGTAAATCAGTTAACGTAACCTTTTCCCTTTGATAAAAGTGGAGGAAAAAGTTGCGAGAAAATGTGAAAAATGGTATCTTATACGAATTGCGATTCGTTTTCTGTTTTGTATTAATTTTGTTTTTCTTTCTCTCATAACATTTACA